GAGTGTGAGGAAAATAGTATTTAGAATGATCTTTTGTTAAGAGAAGTGCGTGTCACAAATTCTCCAAAGAATTTCACTATTTATAGGCTACAAAACCTTAAGAAAAAGGGGTTGAAAATGTGTAACGGTTTTTCCATATTAAATTGTAGTTAATTGGTAGAATTTGTAACCTAAAAAATTAATCACATTTGAATGGGTTATAAAGACTCAATTAATTCCTCATTTGAAACAAATAATTCATTTGTAACTCTAATTCAAATAATTGTATAATAACTCCATTCAAAATGCATTGTAACTCCCACAATTATAATTCCCATAACTCCCAAATAAATTATTATAACTCCTTGTAATGAAACTCCCACAATTATAATTCAAATAACTTCCAAATAAATTATTATAACTCCTTGTAATGATTTGGTCAAGGAAAAAATTAAGATTTTATTAAAATACACCAACACTTTCTTTCTTTTTTTATTTTTAAACTATAAAAGCAAAACATAGGTCCAATTTTATGAGCAAATGCTTAGATTTACTTGCAAAAGATTATTCTTCAAATTGATATAGCTCCAGCATCTTGCGTTGAACTCTTCTAACATTAGTATATAATTTTTTTTTATTCTTATTTTTGTGGTTAAGTGTTATAGATATCTTTCAATTATTAGTATGTAAGTAGACGGACAACATGCAGTACACTTATCCAAATGTTCTCAACACCAATCCAAGAAACAAAATCCAAATCATGGTAGTGTCCAATAGAACATCAATGACATGCCACTGAAATCACGTAAGCCACTGATTGGCGGCATGCCTAACTGATAATTTGTTAAGAAAATCATAGAAAGTGGATAAAAAATGGTCAACACCAGTATACATTTCTCTATTTTATATTCTTGTCTTGATCCTTCCATTACACTTTTTTATAGGGGTAAAATTCAAAACTTAAAAAATGACAAAAAATTTTAACACTAAACCCCCTCCTCATGCTTTATATATAGAAGGATACGAGGAAAAAAAAAAATAACCTTGTCTATAATTGTTATCTGACCCTCGATCCTGTGAAGTCTTGGCCAATAACGATAGCCTTCCTTAAAAGAGCTTGTTTTCAACTTTTTATATGGATGCTGATCTGTTTCTAGCCCACAACCAAAAAAAAAAAGGGAAAAAAATAACACGGTGCTTCTATCTTCTATTAGGGTCCCAAGTGTAATTATACTTTGAATGGTAACAATGTTGAAAGTCCCTGTCCTTGATTAGGAAGGTGCACACAGGTTGTCCAAAACTCCAGCAAATGAGTTGAGAAGCTGCATTAATTTGAGCCTTTATCTACGCCCTATTTTGTGTCCACTTTCTTTTTTTATGTGCCACATCAGCAGATATAATAAACGAAACTACGTAATTTTGCCTTGAACAAAAAAGTGGACACAAAATATTGGACAGAGGATCCATCTGCCCTGGCAGGCTGGTACTCATTGAAGGGCAATATGATTTTCCAGTTAGTTGAGCAACTCTGGGTCTACTTAATCAATGCAATTCGTTCAATGTCAAAGTAATGTAAAATCCTTGTGCAACACTGTTAAACCTTTATTTTCATGTTCCAACCTGGAATCCAACCCCACTCAACCAAATGGTCCCAATTGATATCAAAAACAAAGAGAGAAAATGATCAAAAGCTCCAGCTTAAACTCTCATGTTTTTGGTCATTGCCGTCAAGTCTTGAGGCATTTTAATTTGGTACCTACGTTCCAAATCCAATTTCATATGGCATTTCTCACTTGTGGAGTCCAACAATGGTTATATTATTGGTGCATTTCTCACTAAACGTCTTGAATTAAAAGTGGCCCATTTATGAAGGGTAAACAATTGAGTTGAATTGCTTAATAGTTTCTGCAACTAAAGTAGGCTGGAACACAAAGGATTTCACACGACTTTGTCGTACAAACTTTCAATGTGCCACCTAACAAAATTTAATGCATCGTAGGCCGTTAAAGAGAAATGTTTGTGTGTTTTCAGAATCAACAGAAAAAAAAAAACTCCCATTGCATTCTTGAACTCCAGTTTCTGCAAAGGCATCAAATTCAAACTGGTTCAGCTAGCTTGCTAGCTAACTATGGGTCTGATGAAAATGGCGATTCTGTTCTTGGCCATGGCAGCATTTGGCCTCACAGAAGCCGTTGACATCAGTCAGCTGAGACTACTGGCAGCTAAAAACAACATGACATGTGTGTTGGTTTTTGGAGATTCTAGTGTTGATCCAGGCAACAATAACCGTCTTGACACTACAAATAAAGGCAACTTCCCACCTTATGGGAAGGATTTCATCAATGGCCGCCCTTCTGGAAGGTTTACTAATGGCAGACTTACCACAGATTTCATAGGTATGTTAAACATCTTGCTCCCCAAAATCCCATAAAATTTGAGAAAAAATGGGATTAAATTACATACTACGAATACGATAATAGGGTGTCCCTTTTTTTAAGGGTTAATTATATTTACCTCCCTTAAAATTTAATCAACCTACAGGTTGAACCCCGAGGTTTGGCCAAATAACAGATTTCCCCGTATGAATAACTTCCGTCAAATATCCGAGACGAAATAGATGAGATGACCAAAATCTTACAAGTACTAAGCGATGTAGTCTTTCTAAATCGTCATGTGCCTTTTTCTTATTTTTCTTTTCTATTTTATTTTGATCTCCTTCTTTGCAAATTTTCTAAATACTTTAGCAGTGGCAGCAATGTTGCCTTTTGTCTCCGCCATTTGTAGGCCACCACCGTCTCATGATCTGAGCCCAAATTCTGTAAAATTTTTACTTCAGGCTTGTTTTTTCTTTTCACGGAGGTCATGATTAGGGACTCGACCAAAAACTACCAAATGGGTTCGACTGCTATTTGGTCAGACTCTAAGGTTTAATTAGTAATTTGCCAAACTTTAGGGAAGGTAAATATAATTAACCTCTTTTTTTAATGGTGTAGTGCATGCATTTTTGTTTTAGTATAATCTATTGTAAGTAATTACCACGTGTTTCATTTATTGCATGTCACCGTAAACTCAGCACACCTGAGAATATTATATTGGTTGGTAACCTGACAATATTACTTATATTATTAGTTGAAGTCCAAAGTCACTTTAAATGAACCTTCAATTCAGTGTTAAAAAAATAACATTCATTTTGTTCTTTGAAATTAATTTTTCCTATGGTCTGCAAATTTTCTCATATTAGCGGGCCATAGTGTAGCCAACAAAATTTCAAATTTAAAAAGAGATCATATATCATGCATTTAGACTCGCTAATAAATACTCGCTAATCTAAAACAATAATATTTACATTAATAGTGTATTAAAAATTTTCATCATTGTCCTTAGTGTCCTACAGATAACTTATAGACCGCAAATACATTTTGAAAGTAATTCAAAATTTTAGCTCCTTATGCTCCAAATTGAAAAATGAATATGATTCAAGCTAGATAAATGCCAGCTTTAATTTTTTGAGACAGAATTGACTAATAATGCAATATTTCCATGTGGTATCAATTGCCCGTTTTACACTTGCATATTACTCGTTTGCCTTATTTTGTTACTGATTTTTTTTTTTTTTTTGGAATTTTGCAGCGGAGGCACTAGGGTACAAGAAGATTATACGAGGTTTTCTCGACCCACATCTGAACAAGATAGATATGTTGCATGGCATTAGTTTTGCATCAGCAGCTTCGGGTTACGATGACCTCACAGCAAATCTCTCAGTAATTATATGAAAGACCCAATTTCTCTTCAATTTATTGGTTGATTTTTTTTTTAAAAAAAATATTGTAATTTGATTAATTTTCTCTTCTCTTTCCTTATAAATTGTGGAGGGCAGAGTGTTATATCCTTATCCAAACAAATGGAGTATCTCAAGCATTACATGATACACCTGAGGCGGCTGGTGGGAGCAACCAAAGCTGAAGAACTTATAAACAATGCTGTTTTTGTTTTAAGTATGGGAACCAATGATTTTCTCCAAAACTACTTTCTGGAACCTGTACGTTCAAAACAATTCAGTGTGGCACAATACGAAGATTTCTTGATCACTTCTATGTCTAGTGCCATCAAGGTGCGTCTCGGTAAATTATAATGTGGTCCCTTAACTTTTTGGGAAAATTATTTTGGTTCTTAAACCATTGAATTATCTTTTATAATGACCTCAACAGTATGTCTTTATTCTGAATTTCTTATAAACAATCGCACTTACTTTTGCAGGAAATGCACTCTATAGGAGCAAGAAGAGTAGTGGTAGTGGGAGTTCCCCCTCTTGGCTGCCTCCCACTAGTATTGACGTTTCGGGGTGAGACCAAATGCGACGAAGCATTGAACAAATTGGCCCTTTCATTCAGTACAAAGTTAAGGCAAGAGTTGACAAGCTTAAAAGGGTCCCTGGGGCTTAAAACTTCCTTTGTGGACATATACACCATCATAGGAACAGTAATTCAGAATCCAAAATCATATGGTTAGTAGTATTTACTATTTACGAGGCAATTAATTAGGAATAATACCATGGATTATATTATATATTATTGTCTAATCTCTTGTCCACAAATTAAATGACTAATGATGCAGACGGGATTTTTGTTTTGTGCAGGTTTTACAGAGGCATTAAAGGGCTGTTGTGGGACAGGAACCTTTGAATATGGCAGCACTTGCCGGGGTTTGGCTACGTGCTCTGACCGGACAAAGTATGTGTTTTGGGATGCAGTTCACTTCACAGAGAGCCTGTACGGGATTCTTGCTGATGAAGCTTTAAAAACAATCAGTGTTGATCTTCTTAATTGAGGAAAGAATTATTTTGCTTAGCAACCTTGTGAGTTTGCTGAAAGAAATTAAGCTCCAAAAAGAAAAAAGGAGGAGGAAAGGGCTGCTAATTATGCATGGAGTTGAGGATAAAAAGAAATGTTGCAAATTCTTGAGTGCAGCCGTCGCAGAGTCGTTTATTGTACTCGTGAAATGAATTGTTAGAAGAGATATTATTGAAATGTAAAAGTGGTTTCTTTATTGCGAATTTGACGAATAACCAAACTGAGATGAACTCTTTTTTCAGATGCGATTTTCTAATTCATATAATTAAGTCGACAGACATTTACTTAAGGTATAATTTGAATTAGCGCAGGAATAATGAAGGAAGCATTAATCACTGACAATGTAATCAATCGTAGGCCGACGGGCTTGAAAGACAAGGCCGTATGATTTCTCAGTTGGGTGGATTGAGTCCCAAAATACGTACTTGGAGGCATCCGGGCAAACGAACGACCTGGGGTTGCACATAAATGATGTTTCAAGCCACCCCGTGCCGCAACAGCCTCTGCTAACCTCATCAAAATCTACACACGATAAATTGGCATTTCAATCTGTGACTCACAAACCTAATAATTCAAGTTAAGCAAAATGCATATTGATTATTTTAAGAGTCAAAAATTTGTTAATGATAAATGTAAGATAATGCACACAAAAGAAGGAGTAATATGGTTCCGAAAGTCTTGTAAATTGTTAGACCAAGTGAAAAATGTACATTTAAACTTATCATATGAATGCACACATTTACATTTGTTACTCTGAACAATTAGATATTTTGTATAAATCAATTTTATCCAACAAAATATTAACATCATGCTAGTACTCGATGGACCCTAGTAGCCAAACTCTCTGATATTATATTATGGGTTTGTCTAACGGGTAACTATTTGGTAAATACTTGTTTAGATGTAACTAGTTTAGACGTTAGATTTTTTAAAAGATAAAATTAATTAAGGAATGCGTATTAATGTAACGGAGAATAATAATTGTTAGTGCATATCAATGAATGCCCATTGGATCCCTTTAGAAAAACACTAAAATTAAATGGGTTAATTATTAGTCTTGGAAAGTGATTAATTAAGTCATGACCAAAAAAAAAGGAAAAAAAAATGGTGGTTTATGAAATCCTTCAACATAGCTTATAAAAAATGGGGGGACTAACCATATTTACGGCCTTGGGATGTAATCTCTGCCTAATTGCAACTCAACAGACTCAGCATGTATGCTTGCAAAAAATGTATATCTTCCTGATACAGCAAATTACTTTTAGAAATAGGCTGCAGGATGCCAATTACCCAAAGATCTTAGCCATGCAGCATTTTGGTGGGTAAAATATGGAGAGGCGTGCTTATTCATTTTGGCATATGTTGTTTAAACTCCTCCCATCCATTCCTGAAGGTTTCCAATCTATTAACTGACAAATAATGTTGATTTCTTTAGATGTTGATCCTCCTCTCTCAAAACCCATTAATTGAAAACCAAATCCTCTTTCTCCACATGGCTTTCTCTTTATTCACAAACAACCTCCACTTCCCTAATTTCTCAAGTGAATGGTGGATGTGTACCATTAAAAAGCAAGGTACACCAACAAAATTTGGGTGTCAACAATCATATCAATATCAGACTGTTCACTTGCAGGTACACGCATGAGTGAAATGCTGCCAGCTAAAGGATCTGAAAACGGCATCCTCAGGAGGGAATCAAGGGTGTAATAAGCCTGAGGAATGAGAAGAATTTTTTTGGATGTTCACCACATTTCATTCTGTATCCATCTTACACATAGATCAGGTTCCCAACTATTTGGAACTTTTTATACGAGAACAAGAACAGACTCCTTTAAAGAAAGTACTGCAAAAGCTTCCATGATAATGCACACGACGGCACTGATAAAATCTATCTTCTGCCTCAACAAGATCATAAAAGTCTCCATCTTCCAAACACACAAGCTGAAGCTCAACCACCACCTACCCCAGCCAGTTGCTGCTATATCATGCAGAAAATAGACCACCTAAGTCAATTATGAAGAAGGCAATATAGTTTCCCTGATCTTTTTGCCAAATAGTCCTACACCATAAGGAATCCACAGATCAGGCATTTCAATACTGTTTCTCTTGCTGCTGCTTGAGTTCCATTACACTTGATGTTTAGTAGTATCAGGCTATTAAAAAAAAAGTTTAAAACTAATGAATATCTGCTAAATTGAGCAAGGCACCAAGTCTAAGCCTTCAACAAAAACAGAATCATGCAGCTGACCACATTTTAAAATTCTATTTTAAAAAATTAAATCTTTTCCACTTCCTCTGTTCCAAATTGTGATCTTTCCCACCATTACTTATGAACTTGCAGAAAAAAACAGTTGAAAAATTGCTTCATTCAAATATATATCAACTTTAAGCATGTACTTGCTGAAAATAATTGTTGCAATTAACTAAGAAAATTCCTCCTTCATTCTGCTCGATTCTGCCTAAGAGTTCAACAAGAACAATATCTACAACTGAACACTATCAGATATACTTAAATTGTATAATATCATCATCAATAAGAAAATTTCGAAAAAAAAAAGATGAGATTAAGATTAAGAAAACGCTGACCCCGAGTTCTTCAGCTTCACATAAATCAAGATGGGCATCTACAGCACTGACCGAAAGACTTGGGAAAAACTTGAAGAACCTGGGGATCAGTTGAGCAGCTAATTGCCTAGCTTTAATGCTGGTACTGGTTGCCGCCTTTATTATATTCTCGTAATCCTCCACATGCTAACAAACACCACATTCATATCAATCACCAAAATTCGCAGTCAAAATTCAATCTTGCAGCAAATTATTAAAACCCCAAAATTCAAAAATCGGAGAGAAGTTGGGGGCACCTGAGTCTTATCCTTGGCTTCATTGAGGCGTGCCCCGTACTCGTAGAGCTCATCTATGTCCTTGGCCTCGTCGGAATTCTCGGTCATCTTACTTCAGAGCTTCTAAATTACTGCTTAATTTAACTACGTGACTGTGTGAAAAGATGAAGGTTAAGGTTTAAGGAATTGGCTAAATTTGTCGAATCAAAATACAGATTTTGTATCGATTTGAACGGAGGTTGATTTGGTTGGATAGAACAGTGTGGAAAGCGAAGATTGAGACGGTATAGTATTACCTTCCAGAAGACTTGAGCATTATATAGTGGCGGTCCCCTGGAAGAAAGAGGAAAGCAGAGAAAGAAGTGAATTTGCAAACTGTAAAAGCTTGAGGCAGGTTTGGTCTCCTAGACCGTAGAGACCAAATTTTGCCACATCTACGACTCTTAAATTTTACCTTGGCAAATTACCAAAAGGATTTTCTTTTTCTGAAAAATATTACTACTAATTTCTTGGTTTTGACCTTTGAGGGTGCATTTCTTCGATTAGTCCTTGAATTCCACAGATTACTTTTTATTGTCTGGAACTATATATGTACAAGATTGAAGCGTGAATAATTATTTCATAATTCATATGAGAATAGTAGTATTTTGGAATATTTAAATGCTAAAACCCAGGTTAATTCAACAAATATAGGATAGATGTAGCCTACAGTGAGATAGGTAGTTGAAATGATATAATTATCTTTAAAAATAATTAGCTGTTTTGGGGGGTGTTTTTGAAAAATTTTGCTGCAGCAGAATTTATTTTTTGAGTATATTTTGGAATATTTTTAGAAAAATATTTTTAAAATTTTTTTAAAAAAATTAAACTAATTTTTAAATTAGTTTTTAGAGTACTTTTTAAAAATTTTTATTGTATTTGAAAAACATTTAAAAAACAGGGGATCCAAACAGAGCCAAGATTAGATTAGGGAATACATTAAATGACACTCTCGCTTTAGATGTAGTAAGATAAGCGTGCGGCTAGCATCTTTTATACATTTAGATAAAACGGGAATTCAGCTATAAAGTCAATAAAATTTGAAAGACTATGATTGATCCTGAAAGGGAATGAATGAAAAAAATAATATGTCGAATTGAGGCCTGAAAAATTAGAAAAGAAAAACCCTGATTCGAATTGTTGGAATGGAAGAAAATAAATCTATAATCTACCATCCATTCGGCAAGATCAAGTAAATCCCAGCAGAATAAAAGGGCGGATAGAGTTATGAACAGTGTTCCGTGGTCACTCGTTGGCATCTTCAGTGTGTGAGTATTTTCGTAATTCTCCAGCCATGTGCAGAGCGATTGAACGGTGGAGATTCAAGATTATATGGCTGGTATTTTTGTTTGGGGTGCCGTTTGACCATCTTGCCATTGGATACCCTTTTTGCCATTGGACTGGTAATGTAATCATGATAAGAAAGACTGCTGGCTTCGTCTTCCGAGTGAGGTTTTATTCAGATCTAACCCAAACCCAATATATTTGGATAGAATTTGAGTTGAATTTTTCAAATGCAGATCCTACTAGTAAAAAAGTCATGGGATTGAATAAAATTTATTTTTTTATTATTCATACCCAATCCAATATATTTGGACAGAATTTGAGTTGAATTTTTCAAATTCAAATCCTACTAGTAAGAGTGTCATGTATTTGGATAAAATCTAATTTTCCTCTATAGTGCAAGTAAATGCAGTTTGCCCATGAATCGCCTCAGTATTAAGTAACCTAGCAACGTGCATAACTGCTACAATAACACACTCACCAAACTCACTCCAAGGACAGCATCCGAGGTGCGAGGCACATACGAGCAGGTAGTTATTTCGCAAGGAGGTTAGGACACGATGACACATCTCTCCCATAAGTTGTCCTGTAATTTTCATTCCCGTATTTTTAGTAAACAAGTAGGACTCCAAGATAAAATCTCCAAGTCTAAGAAGGATTTCAGTTAACCAAAAAAAAAAAAAAAAAAAAAAACTCATTGTAGCTGCAGTTAATAATGACATTATACAAAACTTGTGTTCACATTCTGTTGCTTGTCATCCGGCTGCAGGTCTCATGCTCTTTTGCTCAAGTTTCCATCTTCACTTCTCTTACAAAATTGGCATCTCCAATGCTTGCAAAACATCCTTGAACTCAAAATCACGTGTTTCTTTGTTGAAACGCTCAACTAACTTGTACCTGACATCATTCAAGTAAAATGATTGTGCAGTCTCCATGAGCCATTTGGCCTCTGAGTCACTGAGCTTGCTTGTAAACACAACATCACCCCTAATAAGCACCAATTCCTTGCTTTCTGCAAATTCAGTGTAATAAGAGACAGTGAAGTAGGGAGCAGCCTGAGTTCCTCTTGCTTTGTAATCTTCAAGACCAGTGAAAATCATGTGTGGCATTTGCACTGCATCAAATTGTTCAATAAATAAGCGATGACCAAAGAAATGCATTTTCAAGACAATGAAGGCCACTGAAAGATAAGTGAATCCTGAAAACATAAGAATGTCGTCTTAGGGTAGCTAGGATATCATCATGTAATTAGTTTTTCTTTCAAGCTGGGCAGCAGAGGAGCAGATGGGATAAAAATTAAAATCATTGGAAGAAATACTGAAGTAACTGACGAATGGTATATTGGCAACACATGACATGAAATTAAGAAATACAAAACTACCACGTTTACCTTAACCTATAAATACCTGATATGCTACCAATACTGCATTTATGTATTAAGACTTCACTTCTACTTCTTAGCATATCAGCTAATCCATTTTTGTAACCGTCCATTCTCAGAGAAAACTTAATAACATGGTCTAATCTTGTCCATCAGACAACAGAATACATAAAATGGAATCTCAGAGTGGACCTTTTCTTTTTAAAAAAAAAAAAAAAACTTCCTGCTTAATATAGGTGCTCTATTGCAAAATGAAAACAAACTCCAAAATTAATTTCAACAGATGAAATAGTCATATCAATACTAGCTGATTAAATGACTTGATATACAGGGATGATATAAAAATTATGGCCAGGACAAAACAGAAGGAAAATAGCCATGTAACAAGGCCTTGCAAACATATAATAGATACAAACAGAAAATTCTTGTAGTAATGATTACGAGTAGCTTGTTGGCTGCACCACACCAATTAGAAAGTTGAAATACGAATGCTTATCAAGCAAATACTGCACAACCTCTTGGCTTGGGCTTCTAGGTAAGTTTTTTCTAGCTTGAGAATTACAGCTTAATCTAATGAAAACATCTATATTTACTCCCAGTGAAAAGTACATCAATTTTGCATCATTTGTAAATGAGACAAACTTATTCACAACTCTTCAAAGATACCGCTAAAAGAGACACAAATATTCAAGAAGTCTCAGGGCTGAAAAGCTTTTCCTAAGCACCAACAAATATGCACATAAGTATTAAGACAGAGGCAACAGTCTGAAGGTCATTGTGAATTATCCAAAAAATTTAATAGGACACACAATCCTAATTTCAGGCAATCAAGCACGAGAATGACAATGATATATGAAAAACATACATGCAATAGATAGACTTCTTATATAATGTACTGTGCAAAGCAAACTTCAAAGCATTGTTGGCAAGAGGTATGTCGAAACAAAAGAAACTGAAGAACACAAGGCAAAAAATTAAAGACAAAGTGAAGGTGTCAGAGAGATAGCATCCATAAGCAGCCTGCTCTTTCAAGAAAACAGCTGTGAAGCAGCGGGTATGCTAACGCTGTGGGAACAAGTTGCTTAAAGATAACAAGCCATCCCCTGAACTTCCAAAATACAAGCAGATAGGTGACCATCTAGTATGTTATCTCAGTAAGTACAACTCCATTAGTATTTCTTTGTCTCACTTTTAAATGTTTTTCTTGCCTTTCATTCCGTCCAAGAATAACGTCCACTTTCCTTAAACAAATACTTTCTAAATGAAGGAAGGTAGTACAACCAACATGTTCCATGCAATGCTCTAAACATCAGTTAACTAATCCAGTGGACTGCACATATTCCTCATTTTCTCTTTAAACTCTTACATATCTTCAACAATTTCTTAAACCTCATGGCCAATCAAACTAAGACATTCCTACTGGGGAGGATGGAGCAACAGGTGTGGTGACAAAACAATTATTCTACTCTACCAATATCAGGAAGCAGAAAAAAAAATTGAAATATGAATTAGTAGGAAAATTTGAACTGAATTATGTATCTTGAAATTGGCATAAACTTGCTTTATCCTAAGCTAGTGTAGATTTTAGTTTGATTGAAAAAAAAAAAAACCAGTTTAGTTAATGAAATGTTTTATAGCCAAGGAAAATGCAAATTGTTTGCCAAGGCTAGCCACCACCATATGACTTACGTCAATATGTTTGGAGATGCTGCCAACCTTTCTTCTGATTGTGATTGCTTATGAAAAAGTTCTTAAACAAGGGGAGTCAGGAAGCAAGAAAGAAAGCTAATTTAAAACATTGATTTGTGAAAAGAACCAGAGCATTAAAGATAAGCTTTACAATGTATTACAACTAGAAACGCAAGATAAATAGCGCGTATAAAACTGTAATAGAATGAAGTTCAACACCCTTTGATTCCCCTGCAACAGATTACCACCTAAAAGAACCTGAAGTATAAGATGGTAATCACTATTGGCTGGAGTTAAAAACCCAAATCATGCATGAATCAGTCTTCCTATATAATCCCCTTCCATTAATCTTTGTTTTGCAAGCTTGAAATATTGCTATCCAGGTACATGCTTTTGATATACATTGATTATTTACTGAATTGCAGGATGAGAAAGGAGACGTGGTTGATGGAGCATCAACCATCCCAATTCACAAAAACTTAATAACAATATTGAATGAACCAAAAGAATAGCCATGTAGTGAATAGAAATGTAGCTAGTTGAAACACTCTAATGAATGTGACTGGCACATTAATAATCCACCATAGATGACGGAATTTCAAAAGAGTTGACGAAAAATAAACAGTGGTGCTTGAAAAGCAAGTAACAAGTGATCTGACCTTGAAAAAAAATCGTTGTGTAACCGCTTCCTTTCCACAGTGGAATCACGAAATATCGGCTAAAAAAAAAATAAGAAAGTTTTTCCGAGATTAAGGAACAAACATGTGTCAAAGGAAAGATCATGCACATGGATTACCAATTTTCAGCTCTCTGCTTCAATAGATGGTATAACTTTGCGTCCATTGATGCCCCAATGTGACCTCTTCCCAAGTGATACTGATATAAAACAGCAAGTAAAACAATAAATCTACTGACTATAACAAAAATGTGGATCATAAACAAAGAGTCAT